AGCTGGGGGGGATCTACTAGACACTTCATATCAGTATGGCGAGTCGACCGCCGACTTCGAATTCTCCGGGTCAGAATAGTGCTAAGAATAGCCACGGCATCTACAACAACACCGTAATACAACTTCCGCCTCCTCTGCGAACCTCGTCGGATTTTCAGCCATCACTCCCAGAGACACCAGAATCGTCAACACCGCCCATTTGCGAAAAGCCGGCACCATACCGCACAAGCTCCTCCTCCATCTTACCAGCAACCCCCGAACCCAGCGTTGCAAGCGCAACCCTCGTCGACGGCGGGGACCTAGAACGTCAGAATATCAATAGTACGACATCCCTCGAGAGCGCAGTCTTTGACCTCGCGGATGGCCATGAGCATCATGATAAGTTTGAGGTGACGTGGGATGGTCTGGACGACCCGCAAAACCCGCAGAACTGGGGAATTGCGAGGAAGGGGGCGCTGCTGGTGACGGTGGCGGTACAGACTCTTATTGTGATTTTGTACTCGACGTCGTTTTTGTCGGGGTCACGGGGGATGATGGAGGATTTTGGAATCGAGAAGAAGATGACGATGACGCTGGGCATGACGATTTATCTATTTGGTATGTTTCCTTTATCTTCGGAAGGTATCCAGTTTGGAAAACTTGAGCTGACAAAGTTTTGGGCAGGCCTGGCATGCGGTCCCCTGGTGTTGGCCCCAATGTCTGAGATCTACGGACGCAGACCAGTCTACAACACCACCCTCGGCCTCTTCACAATCCTCATCCTCCCCGCCTGCCTCGCGAGAAACTACCAAACCATCCTCGCAGTCCGCTTCCTCGCGGCATTCGTGGGCTCCGTAACGATATGCAATGCCCCCGGGAGCCTAGGGGACATCTTTGACGGAGACATGAGATCCCTCTCCTTCTCCCTCTACGCTCTCGCCGCCATGAACGGCCCCGTCCTCGGCCCCCTCATGGGCGGCTTCGTCTTCCAGCGGCTCGGATGGAGATGGCTCGCCTGGATCGTCTTCATCGCCTCCGCGCTCCTCTGGCTAATCGGCCTCTTCAACCGCGAGACCTACGCCCCGATCCTCCTCCGGCGCAAAGCCTCGCACCTCCGGAAAACCACGGGGGACCCCCGCTACCGCAGCCGCTTCTGCCCCGCGCCAGACGCCCCGCGGATGACGACGGGCTCCCCCGCGTTCTGGCGGATGCTTGGGAGCAACATCGCGCGGCCAATCATCATGGGCGTGACGGAGCCCATCTGCGTGTTTTGGGAGCTCTACGTCGCGGTCATCTACGGCATCCTCTACCTCTGCTTCGTCGGGTACCCCATCATCTTCCTCGAGGTGCGCGGCTGGCAGCCCGGGATCGCCGGCCTCGCCTTCCTCGGCATCGGCGTCGGCACCATCACGGCCGTCGTGTCGGACCCGCTCTCTTGCAAAATCTACAACATGCACAAACCCGACCCCGAGACCGGTCGGCGGCCCCCAGAGGCGCGAATCGCAGTCCTCCTCTTTGCGAGCGCGATCATCCCGCTCTCGCTGTTCTGGTTTGCCTGGACCGGAAGCCCGCGCACGATCCACTACATCTGGCCGATCCTCGCGGGGATCCCGTACGGCCTGGGAAACACCCTCATCTTCCTGCAGGGTAACAACTATCTCGTCGAATGCTACGACCGGTATGCGGCGAGCGCGCTGGCGGGGAATAGTGTTGCGCGGAGCTTGCTGGGGGGGATCCTCCCGCTCGTGGGGGGCCAGATGTATTATAAGCTTGGGCCGAACTGGGCGGGGACGTTGGTGGCGTGTCTGGCGCTTGTGCTGATGCCGATTCCGTGGTGTTTTTATCGGTGGGGGAAGGAGATACGGAAGAGGAGTCCGATGTTGAGGAGGTTGCAGGAGGAGAAGATGAGGGATGAGGAGGTGTTGAGGGAGGTGGATGAGAGGAGGAGGAGGATGAGGGTTGGTGGTGGTGGTGGTGGTGGTGGTGGCACTCTGGAAAAAGTGGAAGCGTGATCAGACTACAACGTCATGACCAATGTCGGCCTAACCGGTGCACTGCCAGTGGTTTTGGAATTCAAAATATTATTTTTAAGCCATTTATTTTCTTTAGATAATTAACTGTTCTTATGCCGTTTCCTATTTTGGTTTCGCCTCGCTTTGGAATTCAAATTAGCTGGGTTCAATTGGCATGCTTCATGATCAAGTTTGTGGGCTTTACAGTTTATCTGTGGTCTATCAATTGCTACATGTGCACGTGCTTAGGCATAAGCTTGGTAATTTTGTTTCACTCCACCCAGGTATCTATATTCGTATATATGTCTCGTGCCATATTATAATTAGTACCTAACGCTATAGAATAACCCGTGGAATTGTCAATACCATGGAAATTTTGAAGAGGGCCGAGGTGCAGAATTAGCCTCGTGCAGAGTCTACATATATAGCTACCTAGGTATATAGGCCTAAAGAAATTTAGAATTGCAAAAATGTGAGTTTGTGATTTGTGATTTTGTGAGCCAAACTCTGTATATTTATTGTCGCTATTCGCGTCGATCCATCGATATCAGTGATACCGCGGCCGTTATCGTTGACATTTGAACTAGATTTCTCAAGAGTTGGGATTGTGGAACGTTCACATGCTATGCTTTAGATACATATGTAATCATAATCCGGATCCAGAGTGGGAAGTATATATGTAAAAGCAAGTAGCCTGGCGAAGCAAGGTGTAAGGTGCTCGGTTTACGTGATTGCATACGAATTTCTGTGATATATATGAGATATCTGTAGGCTTGGTGCACGTGGCTAGTTTCGTGAAGTTAGCTGTGGTTTCTGTATAAATGCCTCGTAGAGGAGACTGTATACAAAGAGGTTCCTAATTAGATACGCACATACTAATGTAACTTGGAGATACCAGGCCACTTCGAGATCTAGAAATATTTATATTTTATCATTGGTAATACAATTGTAAAGACTCAGGGTACCCACCCAGATGTTCTCATGCCAAGACCACCCAGTTGCTTGCACGCGTGGGCATTGAATGAATAGAAACGTGCTCATTTCTGCTTGTTGATCAATTAGAAGGAGCGCTATTAGCCTCGAGTCAGGCGTTGGGCGCCAGTCTCGAGTTGGGCGCTATGGCGGGGGGCGTCTTGGAGCGTCTCGCAACACCGCTGAAATTGAATGGGAGTACCGGTATCTATAAGATGATGGAAATACCTAAGATGTTACCCTGATCAATCTGGAGATCAACCTGATTCACTTGATGTTTGGTACCCGCCAGTCTCGAGCAAACTAGCTCGTCCCAGCAAGCAAACGGTGACCATCCTACCTATCTATCTCGAGCCCATCTCAACTTCGTTAACACCCACAGATTTGAGACGCGGACTCCTCGCTCACACCGAACACTCCACTTCGCGTCACCAAAACCAGTTTTCCTTTTCTCTTGCTTACCTACGTAGGTAAATTAAGTCAAATCAAATCCCATATCTCTCAAAATTAACCCATCATAAAAACAACAATAATAAAAAAACCCCTCACCCCTCGCAATCCCTCTGCCATGAGCTCCAACCAGCGCAACGACGCCCACTTCCTCGCATTCACACTCGGTCAAGGCCATTACTACCCCCCACCAACATCACCACCACGAACACCACCACCTCAACCACCAACCCCCGACGCAAATTCAAACACAGACACAGACACCACAGATACTGAAATGTCCGTCCCAATGGTGACCCTAACCACCACCACTACCACGGGCCATGGCCACAACCGGTCCCTCCGCTACGAGGAGTGCGAGTGGAATATCATGAGGCGTATTGAGCAGAGGATTCTTGGTATGTCGAGCCACCGCTTGTTTTGTTATTGACCATGAAGCATGCGTATGTGGTGCTGGGATACTGACGATTGTCTGACTTGTTTGTTGTGGTGTGGCAGAAAACGCAATGTACCTCAAATCCGGCCCGGGCCATCGAGTCGTGACCCTCACCAAAGGCACCGCGCCAGCGCTCCAGTACATGGCGTTTGTGGTGTCGCATGTCAAGGGCGCTGTACGTCCCACTCCTTCCTTATAACCCACTCATCACCCACCCACCCCTTCCCTCGGGTGTCGTCCAATCAAGTGCTAACATCTTCACCCCAGCCCAACGCAGGAACCCCCTTCCCCCAAACCTCCGATCCAAAGAAAGGGCGCGAGGCTATCGCGCAACACGCGGTCCTGGTCGGTGCGTTCAAGGACTCGCGGGCCGAGGCGATGGAGTCGTTGTTGATGGAGAGCGAGAGGGTTCTTGGGGTGAGGGCGTTTGGAGACAAATAGGTGGAACATAACCAATCACGATATGCTTGCTCTAGGTCTGGCTCTGGGAAGGCTTAGAGGTTGTGCCTCCAGTGGTTGATTGAATGGAGGAAATTTCATCTTAAAGCCTGAGGGAGTTTCGAAGGATCCTCAAGGTTACCATGGGATTGCTTTTTTTTTCTTTTGCCTTGTGTGTTTTGTTTACTTCCTCGGATGGTCGGGCAATGTTGTTTGTCGTGTTTCATTTCTCTGAGGTCATTGCAATTGTGTTTTGCGATCGATTTACACACGTACCTTGAAGTCTGGTGTATAAGATACTCAAAAGCTGAAGTAGTATTTCACATACACTCTGATTAGCATATTTTTGTCATTTCTCGGCTGTAAAAACGCTATAAGAGATCTAGACTAGGTATCTTATTTACCAGATTTTAGGGTAGTACGATTTAGCTAGGTCTTTACCAGTGGCGATGATTGAATGGATGGAATTGAAACAGTTTTCTCGTTCATCGATTAACTACCTACAGAAACTCTAAAACACATTGGATTGACTTCATGGGCGCCGTGGTATTCCTAGGTATGTATAGTCCTAGGCTCGTGTGTAGTCCGACCCTAGGTTTAGACGGTTGAAATCTAGAAGAATGTCGATTTCATAAAATCTTGTTGCGCTTTGCAAGGTAATGTAAGAAATGTGTGCTCATTTGCCACCCGTCACCTCAATAGACATCAAAGCATCCGTCATGGTGTAGTGGCTAGCATTTCAGACTCTCATTGGTCGACCTTTCGGTTGCCATGTGATCTCTGAGAACCCGGGTTCAATTCCCGGTGACGGAATCATTCTTTTTGGTCTTCTTCTTTTTGCGGTTATGAATAGCCACTCGGTTTGTGTTTTTATGTCGATAATTTATGTCTAGATCTGAGGGGCAGTTACGGTCGGCTGGATAAGAAGTGGCGAAATGTCTAACTAAGCTTTTGACAGGCGCGCGCCGGTATTAGTTTTCTCTTGGAGGTTGAATCGAATCGATGAACTTGAAATCCTCTTTTGACAGGTGTTCGTTGCAAGCTTGGCGCTCAAATACAGTTGGAGTTGGCAGGTAAAAGCGAATCAACCTCGTGAGCGAATATGTTGTTTGAGCTTAAGTCTCTATGAGTTTGCGAAAGGTGACATATAGATAGGCTTAGGGTTTCCATATTCTCTGACGTGAAGCTTGGTATATTTATAAAAAGATTCCCGAAATCTGAGCTAGTCCTAATATAGTCGAGAAGACACAACCCTAACCCGCTTTGGGTCAGAGCCGAGCTTCCAAATGCGGTAGTCGGGTTCTTTATTCTTTCTTAAGGAAGCTCGAGGGGCGTACTCTGCTTCTGGTGCGGGGGCGAAATAAGAAGCGAAGAAGTAAGATGTACTTATGAAGTAAGTGAGTATGGAAGGTTTTGGAAAGTACTAGTAGCAGGAGGCTTCGAATTCTGTTACTCGATGGGGTAGTGGCAAGTCTGAATACGAGAATAGGGTAGTGGATGAGGCCGTGACTGTGATTTTTGTGCGGGCACGCTGAGGCCATACCTATTCCCACACACACGGAGGTATTGTAGCCTCTTGCGAATTCGCAAAGAAACTTGACTTATTCTCCCTTCCGCCCACCTCCCTTTTGTGAGTATTCTTCTTATACATGCCATCTCGCTGCCAAAAATCTCCATGGACAAAATACCAACCTGATATGCCACTTCGATATGCCACTTCTCAGACAATTTCGCAACTTCAATTTTTTTTCACTCTTTTTTCAAATCACACTGGGTAGAATCCAAGGAGCTATACGTGCACTTGTCAGCGGCTCAATTGACAACTTATCGCCATCTCTACGGAAGGGCTGGATCTGGATTTACCAAAACCTTAGTCGAATTCGGGAGTGCTACTTCTGGCGGCATGATCTGTCTACTCGAACGTACACGAGACTCAGTGGAAGCCAGATTTCCTCGCCACCTATAGGTGATGGAGCTAGCCCATCGTCTCTTGTGAAACTACAGAATCTGGAATAACCTGGACCTAAAATTAACAGCTTGGCTTAAAATTCAGAGGTATACCGCACTAATTACGACACACAGAGGCAAATCTGGAGTCGAGAAGCTTAATACAACTTGATTTCCCATTATTCACTCCAATGGCAAAAGTTATGGAAAGCATACACGACATCAACATGCGACTTGTCCGAACCTGCCGCCAGTATCCAAGGCAAAATTCAGGGAATGATTAATGTGGTCAATGGAAATACCCAATACGGAATAACCTAGACTACAAATTGACAGCCGAAGAACAGATATGCAACGCTTCCCACTAGGGGTGGCCTTCAAAGAACATCGAAGAACGCGAACGCAGTTTTCGTTTACTCATTCTCAGTTTTATGGAAATAATAAACGGAGAGTAATATCAATCAGCTACATTGCTCAACGATATACTTTGCCATCAATTAAGGCCAGATTCTCAGTACACAGGTGTTCATTAGGTCATGATGTCCAGGCCAAAAAATGGAATAAAAGGCGGCCTTTCCTCCCCCGACTCGCTGTCTTTTTTCTTCTTCTTCATAGCACTCTGCTAAAAAAATTTGATTCTGAAACGTTGAATATCTACCACTTTTATAAAAGCTCCAGATAAAAAACGTTAAGGTGAGATCTCCCCCCCACCTCCCCCCCCCACGGCTACCCCCCCATGCCCAATTACTTGCCATCTATCCTGCAGCAGGGGCTGATATTCCCATAGAAACCATAAATCCCATCACAATGAACACCACCGACTCTTTTCTCCAACTCCACTTCCCTAGTTCTGGGGAAATCTCCCCCCCCAGATCCCCTTCTCCCTCCCGATCTGCCAGATCTCGGTGCTTGCGAGCACTCGCAAAGTTCAAGCGCGGTATAAAATCTCTATATTCGCTACCTCCATGCGACTTGTCCGCAAAGGAGTATAGCTCGGAGACCCACCGCGACTATTGGGTTCAAGATTTTCAGGCATCGGAAGACCTGTTCTGAAGCACCAACTTCTGGTGCTTCAGGGTGGGCCTTTCGATAGTGCGCCCCTCCCTCCGTGGACTGCTGCGGCAGCCACAACCCCAATGTCTACAAAAGGCATTGAATGTCTACAAAAGGCATTGGGTTTATTACAGATTGTCTATTCGTCACTATGGTATGTATTCTTGATCATCTGTATTGATTTCAGTGCTGACAATCCCTTAGAAGCGAAGATGGCAAGGCATGGAGTCTCTCGGCACAGTTGCAGCTGGTACACCAGAGATCCCCAGCACCTCCCTTGACAATATTGGGGAGCCTCCGCCAGAGTATTCTTGTTGGCGGACATGTTGCTCTGGACAGTCTTCTTCTCTTGGATGATATCTCAATGATATTAGCTAGTGAGCTGAAGGCATAATTTTTGGAAACCCATTTCCTGAAGCATGAAATATTGTTTTGGGAATCTTTATTACCTAAACTTAATTTTTATACTCTCGTACAAGCGATTGCCTCCTGCTATCTCTCTTCATTTGCCCGTTCCTACTCTACTTCACGCACACGGCTATCCTTCACATTCTCCCACTATGAAAGATCCCCCGCCTACCGCCAGCGAATATCTCAGCGGCGCTTCTCCCAATTTCATGCCATCAACGGAACGTCATCAATGACAAGCGGGGTGGAAGCCTACCAATCTTTTGTGGGGACATATTGTCACACAGCTATACTTTCTACTCGATTATATACCTTCTCATTAATATTGTATGAATATGCATATTTAAACCTGCGGACGCAGGACGTCCACATTATTGATCCGCTAGATCTTCCTGTCAAAATCTTGAAACCTTGCCGGGATCTTCGGCCTGATCGCATCTACGTCCTATTCCCGGTATGTGCATTTATTAACCCTACATTTGAAGATAATTCACTAATTACCAGCAGTTTCAGAGGTTCTTTTTCAAACTATGAAAGAATGCCAAATCTTTCGAAGCTTCAATCGAAATCGGGGTCAATTTAATCAAAAAGTACTTCGACCCAGGCTAGCCTATCGGCACTCGATATCATGCCAAACCACCATCAGATTTCACGTTCCAGATCTAATACGACAATATGTCTTTCGATAAGACTTGAATCAAGCTCCCCATTCATGGATATCCCTGCGCATCTACGCATACAATGGCAATGAAATGGGTTTCCCTTGGCTCACGCAATCCAAATAAATGATGTACCGGGAATTCTTCAAGTCGCCAGACGTCAAAAATGCAAAAAGAACGTCTGCTCAAAACTTGACCTCCAATCACGCGAATTTGATGCCTCCATAAAAATCAAGCAAAAATTCGCTATCGCTGGGACTGAACTTGCTAAAATACGATGCAAACTTCGAATGTCCGCCCGAATTTCCGAACTCGCACAAAGATCAGATCGAGCAACGGTTCAAACCGTTGCTTCGTTTGCATAAGATCTATTTCTTTTTCTAATTTTTTGATGTATTTACCAGTGATGATGATGCATACGTATACGTAGGCAGGTATAAACACTGTAAATAAATACCTAAATACGCTTGAAAACTTGTGAGATCTCGATTATTTACCCTTGATTCTTTTCTCCGAGTAGAATGTCATTCTCGTCATCATATCTTATTGACGTTCGAATTTGTTCTTGATATTAAAGGTATTATCGATGTTGGCAAGCTACCAAGTACTAAAGTCCTATGATTAATTATCTTGTCTTTGATTGGGTGAACCACATATTATACATTCAACTTACTTGAACTTGTGTTATAATTTGATTCTATAAAACTTGAGGTTTATCCGGATCCGCACTACATAGTACGTATATTATAATACGTGCATGCCCAATCAGTGTTCCAGTGTACTGTTCTCGTTCCCAGATACCTAGCCCAGGCCTTTCCATATTGCAAATTGTTAAGGTTGTCGTCTGGCCAGCTGGTGCACGAGTTGTATTGTTTGATGTGATTACATATAAACTTTTAAGGCCTCAAAATTTTTACCTGTGTGGTATGTACATGCATGCCGCATATGATTCCTGCCAAAATTAATGTACTTACATGTTAATTTGTACATGACGGACGCGCACGACTACCCGATTGGGACGTTTTCCATTTTTGGCGGCCCAAATTTACTTTTCCACTATACTTCGTCATGATAAAATCTGAATCAGGCACAGCACTGGATTTCTTTCGGATGTGGATGTATACATGCATCGGGCAGACTTCTAGATGCAGTTAGATAGATCTTGGGTCGACAATAGGTTACAAGCCATAGCTAGCCTAACTGTCCCGCGGCCGGCCAGCTGATCGATCGTTAGCCGTGGATTGCACAATGCATATATGTCTCACTGGCCACATGGCATTGTAAGAAGGTATATTATGTATGTATGTATGTATGTATGCATGTATGTAAGTCAGCCCGAGGAAAAAGAAAGCCGTTGTTATCTTGCATTACGCATCGAGATCCTGGAATGGAAGGTGTGTAGCTAGGAGAACTAACTAAACGGCCGGGCATGCATGCAGCTAGCGAGTCGATATCGATCCGAGTCGACGTCCAGCTGATCATGAGTTAATTGCATTGGGCAGATGATGGATACCTGGGGTATACCGATATACCTACCTAAGCTGCATGTACCAGTTTCATTTTTGGATCGATATCTAGAACGTGGGGTTTTTCCATAGACAGGCCTAGGGCGATGATCAGCAGGTACCTCCATGCCATGTGTAAGTGAGGTTCTGTACCTGCTTAACAAGGGCTTAGATGCAGCTATAGTTAAACTAAAACGGCAGTGGTGTTGGGTGGTGCTCTGGTGAGAAAGTGGTGGGCTGA